GGGTTTGAGTTAAAAAGAAAATGAAGACATCCCAAAGTCCAACTGGTTATCACATAACCCAACGGGTGTATCACACCATACAATTCTTCAATTTCTACGAACTTGCGTGTGGCTTCGCATGCTGCTTGACGATTCTCGTTTTCGTCCTGAATGTCGTCGAATTATAACTGAGTGAGTCCTCACTATACTTTGATTCAAGTTGATTATGCATAAAAGCACTGTCTTAACGGATAATAAACTGTCTAAAGTGACTAAAGTATTTATGCACAACCGTACCTCCTCGCGATATGATACTTCACATTTGAATCGATCTCCCTTCTTGAGTGCTGCTCTGCTGCAACGAGGTATCTTTACTCATCAGAACGCTCTTGTAGAGGACGGTAGATAGACTACTAATCTAATTCACTCATCGAAAATGATGAACGATTGCTAGCTGATGGCCAATGAATTCTTTCAAAACTTTTCGTATAATTTTCTGTGGATAAGCCACATTATCACCCTACTCATTACCTGAAGATGAGCGGCCTAGAGTTCCCTTCTAGAAGGTCACTGGTACGAAAGTTTTTGAACCAGCGACAACTATTGTGTTTGATGATTTTCTCTCCCCAATACTTTGCTAACGTTCGAGTTCCTCTCTGTTGCTATACAAATTAACTTGAAACATTTTACAATCGTTGATAGCTATAACTATAGCTTCTAGAAGTGCAGACGTAATGGCGAGAATGTTTGTGATGTCTTAAAAGTTTACAGCTTTCATTCTTATCATTTTTAGGGTCTTCCATGAGATATGTAACAATTGCAGGAAGATGGCTAATTTATTAGATGCAAATGTTTTCATTTTAAAATTGACTCATCAAATTCCATAGCGGCATGGAGATCATCGTAGAGAAAAAAAAAAGATTTGTCCCTGATCATTCAAAGCACTCATTCTGTGAATACCTCAATATTTGTTTCAGAAAGCTCCTTTTTCAAAAGTCATTTAGATACTTCAAAACACCAGATATGGCCACTTCTTGGTAGGCGTATGAATGCATTTTTAGTTACATCCTTAGAGTGTTGTCGCGATGCCATTTCAGATTTTTTATTCTGAATCTTTTGTTATGTTCATCCTTTTGATACTTCTACATTTTATTTCATTATGGCCTCTAGTGTAAAACGATGAAAGCATTTTTCCTATTTGAAGCAAAGAAACGTTTCAAGGCCGACAATCTCTTAATATTAATATACAAAGAAACTTCTTTTTGTGACCGCTTCTGTTGCAAATTTTTCGTATGCTTTGTGAAAAAAGCACAAATATAGAGGTCTATTATTTTGAAAGTTTGATGTAGTTTACTGCATTGCTCTGATTAATAAACACATATATGATTTGCCAGTTTATTGCCGTTGTTACAAAAAGAAATGGTCGAATAGTTCGTATCAAGCACATGACTGGTTTCTTCAATTTCCACCGACAGTGCCAGCCGCCGAGAAGAAATGTGATTTAAGTGGACCCAGTGCTAGCATTCGAATCGCTCTGTTCAGTATCTCTTGCCACATGGTCCTTGACCAATTCGTCATGATGATATTTGTGGTCTACACAGATTTTTTCTCCAAAAAAATCGTACATAAAAGAAATTGAATCAAACCGTTAGAACTCCTGAAATTGTCGTATAATTGGCGGGAACGGACGTTATTGCCACCATGGGAGATGGTGTCGTACACATTGCATCAGCCATCATGAGAGCAGTACAAATTCCCGTCACTGTGTCGCCGACGATGATGCAGCGCGATGGAGTCTTCCCCGCCATCAAGTTGACTACAAAAAATTTTTCCAGCAACACACTTGTCTATTGTAATAATAACCTAGAAAAGCCACAAAAAGATCAGAGCACTACTTTTTCTTTCACTCATCAAATCTCTTCAGACCATCACCTTACACATTGCTTATTACTCATTGTCATAAAGGAATTTGCAAAGCTTTTAGAAAATACGGCCATTTAGAAAGGCTTTAGTTTCAAGCCATGTCATAGTTTTTTTTTTCCAAAGGACCTTCCAGTTTTCAGTTGTTCGTTGAACAATATTAAGCTAATCATTACTCATTCGACGCTTATTAAACTTCTGCCTGAAATTTTCGAAACACAGGATGATTACTGATACTCACCCATTTCCATTCGAGTAATGGCAACTGCCGGACATTCCATGGGTTCGTAAGTGATGTTAACACTAAGCTGACTCAAAATACCTGAGATTACAACATCAGGGAGGAGTGCGCTGCGACCCTGGTTTTCCAGAACATCAACCACCTGAAGCAAACTTTTCTCATTAGGTGGTAGTTTATTTGAAATTGTTGATCAAATTGTCAATCAATCTATTTAAGTTATGATAGCACTACGAGGTTTACAAATTGCCAGAAGCACATCTTCAGTACCTTTCCAGAATTTGCGAAGAAGAAGAAAACACTTAAAATCTGATAACTTACAGTTTGCATTATGAGACGTTGCACAAATGCCTGAGCTCCTCCTTTATCACTTGCAATACCAGGTACCTGGGATAGCACTTCAGTTTTTCCTGAGTAAACCATCGCGACAGGCAAAGAGAACCCGCTGACTGAGAAGGGCCTACTTCTCGCTGCAACCAGAATTCGTAGAATCGTTTTAAGATTTACTAAACATCAAAAGACTATATCAATTGAAGTTTGATAACTTTTTTCCGTGTCTTAGTTCGAACTCAAAAATTTCGTTAGTAACCACAGACAAAGAAACCTTTACTGATAAGGTATCAGATACTTTATTCCGATTAGATTTCTAGACTCCGATCGAAGACAAAATGTTTTCAGTAAGAGAACAATCATCTTTTTATTACATTGTCCGGCAGGCATCACACCACATCCCAACGCCGCGGAAATTGTGACTAACAGCGAAATCATAATGGGATTGGTCATAAGTCTCGCCATGTTTTTGCTTTCAGAAACTAACCAAATATTGTAGATTCCACTGAAAACATTTTTTTTCATGTTTTGCATCAGATCGTTGACAAGTTAACAACGGACTCAGTACAAAGCATCTTCATGTAAGTAAACTCACAATGCATTTGCACATTACCTTCGCAAAGCTCTAGGGGTTCTGACCACTTAATTGAAAAATCCTTCACAACAAGTATTGTAATGGATTCTGCTATCCCGAGATGAACGAGAATCGGTTAGTGAGGTAAGGTGCTTGTTAAAATCTTGATGAAAACGAAGTGAGCTGGAAGGCCCAACAAAGAAGAAATTCCAATGAACGCGCCGGTTCGATTTCTCAGTTGTTCCTGGTTAAATTTTGTTCCCGCCTTCTCACTTTTGATGATGTGACATAAAAATCCGACTTTCTCAAAAGAAAACGTTCTCATTCGAAAAAACGACGGCAATATAGGAAGTGCCTTTTCATGAGGAAACTTGTAAAGGAAATCAATTTTTGGAAACGAAGCGAAATTTTTGTCGAAGCGTTTTTGGTGACACATTTTCAAGTTTTGCTCAAAATACGAAGCCTCAGCGATTAAAATTTAGGAGCACTTTGGATTCACTGCGAAAATCCAAACATGAACCCTCAGAGGAATGCCTTACTGTCAGAGACGAATTGCTTGACTACACGTGATGCGACACATCGTATATGGCTTATTTTGATGTAAGAAGTACATCTGCAGTCCATGTAAATTCTGCATGATCAGTCTCTATTCATACAACTAAGTGGGAGTCCTATAAAAGCGGGTGATAGTTAGTTTGTGTTTGATGCGACAGTAATCTAGGTCCAGTGATTTTTTCTTATAAAGTAATGAACGGTGCTTCGCTGACTGTTATAGGGGGAAGCTGATCTTTTCAGATTCTCACGAAGACGGAACTGCGGAAACGTCAACTGTCAGAACAAATTGCATTGCAACAACCTCGTACAGGCTTACAAAATCTGTGATTTACTGAGCAAAGCCGAGCTAAATTGATAGTTGTTCATGGAAAATATCTAAGATTCGGATGTCGCACTTTTTCCCCAACACTGTCGCCATTAGATGATGATTGATGATTTTTTTTTCTTCATTGACAAAAAAAGTTAATCAAAAGACGATGGCTTGATTGAATATTCTGAAAAAAATCTTTTACTCAGAAATCAACAGATAAGCAACTGATGTTTGTTGCAGAAAGCTTTAACGTCTTTAACGAGTGGAATCACACCACTGATCCGAGGATTTGAAGGTTTCACTGCGTCGGAATGTGTTATTGAGAGTTTCTACGATTCAGAATGTAACATACACTTGAACAACACACTGAACACGCTATTGAAGCTATTGAATCACCAGCCCTTTCACAAGAAATTCATGAACGCTAAATATAGCTGAGTAAGCAGCTCCGCATTGTACTGATTGTATTGTGCGAGCAGTGTCGCTGTGACATTCTCTCTTATCTATAGATAGGAGAGTATGGTTTGTCAGATATTTTTGCCAATAGGTAAGGAACACTTCTACTATTCCATTATCAATCAAGGAACTAAATTCTTTATTGGATATTGGGAAATTCAAATTGTTGGAGAGTGTTGGTTCAACACAGAAACAACACTGCAGCCATACCCCCTGTGGGCGGCCTAGTCAATGGCCCATAATGTGGTGTTTCTTAAATCTTTTTTTATTCAACTTCAGCGTGCGTGACCAATATTTATCAAGATCCCAAGACCGACTATCGATGAACCTTGGCAATTATCGAATATTATTGTGACTTTCTCATTCAGAGAATACGAGGAGGTTAACAGACGATTATTTAGTACATCACCTGCCATTCCGTTGACCGTCGAGTGATTCCAGCAGGCACCAGCAACACTTCCATTTTTCCCTATCGCGTTACCATTTAGGAATCGATGTTACCTCGGCAAAGTATTGATCAAATGAGTTCTGTTTAGCCGTTCCGAGGTATTAGTGATACTATTTATTGTTGAAACATGTTAAAGGTTGATGGTTGACAGTTAACATAGAGATGTTGAAAAATGAGTGTGACACGAATGTCCTCAGCGGCGTAGTGGTAGCACGCGTCCTCTGCATGGGCGGAACACAGGTTCGATTCCCGTCTGAGGTCGTGTTTTTACTCACCACCCAATTCTCTTAGGTATGTATGAAATATCATAACACTTTGAAAAATGCAATAAAAACACTAGAAATTTCGACGCTGCAAGCTACAAAATTATATAGGCTCTAGCCAACGATGTCTCGACAAACACTTATGCATTCATCGACCACGACTGCGTTACACAGTCGATCGTCTGTAAAAGTCTTGTAATGCGTCCGCACAGAGAGGACATCCCAAGTCGATTATCACTGGAAATGAGTCCTAGATATACTTCATGAACACGCACCAGGCCTACTGGCTGCCTCACAAAAAAGACCAGCCAGCTCAACCAAAGCCTAAGTACCATGTTCGGCAGATTGTGCTCTCGATTTTCTGGGATTAGCGAGACAAGCTGTTTTGGGAACTGCTCGAACACAGGCAGACAATCAGTGGCGACGCCTATGAAGAACAACTTCAGAAGTTGGCCGTACGAGGAAAGCGTCCGAAACGATCCAGTGCCGCCCTTCTCTAGGATAACATTATATTTCACACTGCGAAGTTGATTCATCACATTTCGGTTAAAGTGAACTGGGCCTTGGTATAACAACCACCGTTTAGCCCCGATATCGCTCCATCGGATTATCATTTCGCGCACTGAAGCACGATCTGCGGGAGGAAACATTCAAAGACTTAAACCACCTCAAAAGGGACTTCAACTTTTTTGATCGCCAGCCTCATTCTTTTTTTTTTGAGGAAGGCACTCAATCTTTGCCCAGCAAATGATTGCAACGAACAAAAGTGTCGAAATTGTGAAGTTATTGATAGAAAAACCCAAAATTTCCTTCCTTATGCTATTCTCCAAGTCCACCGTGCGCTCATGGCACACCTACGATCTGCTCCTTACTCAGATTTTAGTTCAGTTCAAATTGTTCACCTTTGCACCATGCACCATTTATTGCGAGATAAGAATAGAGGCGAGATGTTCATTGAAAGGACTGAACATGAAGAATATCTACGAAATTGTCAGTGTTAGCTCACTGTAAAAAATGACCGGATGCTACCACCCTTGCCACGCCTAATTTCAGCACTTGCCAACAATAAACGCCGACGCCTAATTTCAGCACCTGTCAACAAAAAATGCCGAAATGTTCAAATCTGATAACCGCATTTATAAAGAGAGTAATGACAATACAGAACCACTGAGATGTCCCCTACAGTAAAAAACAACCGAAAAAGAAATACAACAACATTTTACACAATAATAGTACTACTCAATGATAAGAACAATCGAAACGATAATCGGTCTCGAAGTCTTAACAGCACATACAGCTTGAAGATGTAGCAAACAGCTGCACTTCAGCGACAATAAACTGCTCAAAACGGCAATCTCATTTAACCCGGCAGTAGGTAGAAAGATCGAAAAAACCGAGACTATCACTGCTCAAGAGCAAATTTGATGAATGCGTACCATGTTGACCATGTGATAAATTCACAGAATTCCCTTACGTTTGATGAGGATTTAATTAGCTTGCTATATCACCAAGCTCGATAATGAAACGAGTATCACTTCTCAAGCTGACATGAAATTTGCTTAGAGCTGATCCTAGTAGCACAAAAGAGTCATTCGACTTCCATTGTAGGACGAATTTTGCTAGTATGATTATGAGCAATGTTGAACGCGTCGATAAATTGCTGAGTAGACTGCTGCAAGGTGTTCTCATTCAAAAATCTGAAAAACAGATTGAAATTAACATCAATATTATGCATTTTTCAAGCGCTATACAACAAGGTTGGTCACGTTATACAACGGTTAAAGTATCATATAATATACATTCTGATATAGTTCAAAATCTGGCCCCTGCAAAATGAACTCCCTTGAGTCATTAAATAAGGTATATACGCCTCCATTCACTTCTATGCTGGTTGGTGATGTCGAATGCATGGCACACTCCTAAGATACTGACAGTACCGAACACTTCATCCTTTTATTGTTCCTTTCCGCTAGACGGCACGGGATAAGGAAACGATCTCTTTCGCTGGACAAAGTTTCCTCATAGGAGTGTCAGCAATCATTCGAGAGTTTGAATCTTTGGCTAGCGTGATACGTGACCAATTTTCTTAGAAGACCCATTTTTAAGACCGCAAAATTCGAAATAAAATCATGTTTGACATCAGTAGCGCACTTCAAATGCTACTTTGCAAGAAGCACGAAAAGCATATAAACGTATAGAAAAAAACCTTTCATTATCAGGCGTTTCCTTTGAAGTTTTTCCCAAGCAGAGAAACAATTCCTAATCAAATAACTGGGATCGCACCTCACTAAGACGCTATTGACCGATGATCGCACCGACCCCCGTCCCCTGCCGCTCAGCCCGCAGCCCATAAATTGGCCAAAGTACATTGCTCGTGTATATGTATAAATCTTGTTTTCCCGTTATCGAGAGATTACTGATAGCTAGAAGAAAGAGCCCTTGTCTTGCGAGAGAAACGCATGGGTGAAACACAAATGTTTTCCTCTCATTAAAGCGTTTTAATGGCATTTTTCAAAAAACCGTTCATGTACCGCGCTAGCCAAAGATCTAAGCTTGTAAATGATTACTAACACTCTCAGGAAACTTCTTGCCCATAGAGAAAGATCGCTGCCTTTACCTGTGTCGCCTAACGGAAAAGTACCTATTCTTTCATATAACAAAGGTACAGATGGGTAAACAATTGCAATTTTACAAATTTCGTCCAGTATTTAAAATAAGTTCAACTCCCAACAAAATAATAAAACCTCTACTGCTGATATGGTGGCCAATTGATTTTCGAATAGATGTTTAAATATAACATCATAACACTAGTAAAAAAGCAGTGAAATGAATTTATAGATCACATAGTTGCGGATGGAAATCAAATGTGCTCCTGTATACGTTTGACGTAGTTTTTCGAACACTGTACCATTATGTAGAACCGCAAAGCTTATTGTATGCATATTCGTTCTCTACAGATATATTATGTTGTCGACGAATTTTAGATCAAAAGGATTTTCAAATGTCAAAATAACGATTTCGCAAATTCACTTTTGCGGAATTCGGAGTCAAATGTACGCAGCGCAAAAAGCTGGGACAATGGTGAGTTACAGGGCCAAAGCAGGGTTAACGAACACATATTGCAACGACGGTCTGGAGGATTTTGTTGTGACGAATTCGACCTTGTAGGTCATAGATGTCCCAAACGTCCTCTACTCTCGGCAATAATAAATTCAAGGCCTCGGTGAAAGCAAATATATGAGAAATTGTTCGAAAAGTAATATAAGAACTCGATGTAAGCATTTATAGTAAAGAACATTTATATTGAATAAGAGAGCCAAAAAATGCTCGACAAACTAATGTCACACGAAATGAACGATCATCAAAGATGACCCATTGGAGTACTGTGAGCAATTCTTCATAGCGTACGGCACGTACACTATAGCGTACGTGGGTACAGTAACCGCGGTCCAAAAAAACCATTAAGCCCCTTCAGCTCTCTCCTCTTAAAGCCTTTTCCCATTCGGGTTAACCCATAACGACCGCTCTAACCTCAGCGTCCCACTGAAGCCAGTAGTGATTTTGTAATAAATAATCAGCTTCTACGCGGCGAACTGATTTAAATCATAATTCTATTACTACGCTTAGGAAATGGTAAGTAACAGTACTCATAGAAGGCTCAAAGGATTCTAGAATGGTTGCAAAGGGCCGCAGTATATGTTCGCCATCAAAGAATTCGTCATCTCGACAACATCACAGATCTACGCTATCAAAGTAAAGGACCTCTACTCTGCTGGATAAGATACGTAAATTTTCAGTACTTTCTACTTTAACTGCTATGATATCTTTAGCCTAAGTTATTGCCCTCAAAGGTCCAGTTAAAAATTCAAATAGCTTTATACCGGACCCATTTGTCTCCTCATCGTCATTATCGAATGTCTCTTGAATCATATCACTTTTTTTTTGCTTTGAGCTCCTTATCAAGAATGCTTCCATCATATTCAAATTAAGCAAATACAATGTTTCATCAAACAGTGATACTCTTGGTCAACTTTTTTTTGATATTCAAGCAATAGATACTTAAACTAAGACCATGATACAATATTCCACTCTAAAAGAAATTCTGAAAAATCGCATCTTAGTGGAGAGAAAAAACAAGTATTTCACAAACAACAGTCATATTGAGCCAAAATGATTGATAATCTTATCTCACTTTTCGGGAACCGCCACATTCAGTATTTCTGGTAACATCCACGGCTTTAACCATCCAACCAGAGGACTTTGACCAGCTTCGTATACAACACCGGTATAATAGTATAACAGACCATCCAGTTCGAAGCTAGAAATATCAACGATCTTTTACCGGGTATAACTGCTCTTTCATTGTTTTTAAACACCATAGATAAAACAAGTCTTGTGTAGGACAAAATCAGTGAAAAAAGTGTTAAAAGTATCAATGCTCACTCGAATCCATTCCGCATCATTTCTTCCATAAGCTCTGGCTGGCATTTGCAGCAAGGCAATGACAAGAACGGTAACTGAAAACAACTTTGATTTGGTTCAAAACTAATCAGTTAGTACACAAAACGGTATACATTATGATTAGTGAACTAGGAAACAACAATCAATTGAAATGTGATAAATGTGAAATGATGTCTATCATATGTTTATGATAGGCATGTCTAGTTTTCTTATTCTTTATATCTTGACAACTCAGCTATCTTGAGTTCATTTCTTCATTGAGAATTTCATAGCGTTCCTATGAAAAAGAACTCAATAGTATACGACCATAGAAAGCTAAATTCAGGTGTCGTAATGAGGGTTGCGGAAGTGGCTAACATGTTCAAGGTGTAAATTTTTTGCGGTAGTTCATTTTGATGAACAAGAAGTTAATTCCTGACCATCTCATAAAGAATCAGTAACTTATCTAACGTGATGCTGTGATGGGCGTTGTCCATGGGAAGTTATCTCCCTTACTAACATTTCCTCCTTTCCCTTTTCCCTCACTTTCGACGAGAA